AATAAGCCAAAAAACTCCAAGTCGTCATGGAACCAAAACTTGAAAAATAACTTGTTGCCAATCGTTGACGAGTTCTTCACTCAGACTGAAAAGTATGGGTATGTAAACCCCAAAGAATTATTCAATTCGAGCGGCGGTAGAACTTGCAGAACGCTTAAATCGATCTGCGGGTTGTTGTGTAGGTCGTCTCTGATGATGGGACGACTTCCAAAAGTTGATTGTCTTTGTTGATGAATGAAGACGACTTGATGGACGATCTCTGATGGCGAAATTGCGGCAGTTAGCTGTAGGCGTAACTGCAACTGTTAATCTGACAGAAATAAATGAAAATAGACTATAAGCCTATAGTTGACTAGTTTCTACGAGATGATGGATATCAATTCAGGTAAAAAGCATGCAGTGAGAGAAGCGATGGGCTGCGAGTTTTGCGTGGTTTTCTTACGGCCTGACCCGTAGAAAGTGCGGACATCATAAAACTTTCTGGAATTGGTATTGTATACTAATACCGATTATTCCTGGTTAACTTCACTGCATCGTTCAACAAAAATCAGCTAGGATAGGATTGGATCTGATAGCTTTGGATAGGATAGCTAACGATTCCTGACTTCTACTACAACGAATCATACTTCTGCAAAAAGAATCCATCTTTCGTGACGATAGCCGTATTTGGTGGCGACTTTTTAGATAAAACGAACTTGGTCTGCTTCTGGTTGTGCTAGGGGAATGTGTTATATCACTACCCTCAACAAGTCAACCTTGACATCTTTAGTTGCTTGCTTATGAAATTTATACGACTGTGGAATGTCAAATTTCATCTCGGCCGCAACTTCAAGCTTGTAGCCCCATTCCGCAACCAGCTTCGAAAGAAATGGTCTTGTCGAGGTCTTGTGAAATGAATAAACTGCTTTTCTAGCCAACCGGGTTGCAGAACGCAAGAATTGCGCATCGATCCCTTCATTCATCTTTGCAAAGCAAGTGTAAGGAAAACGGCAAAAAGAAGAGGTATGTGCTGTCAAGACAGAAGAAAATCTGAGTACCTTTGTTCCAAACGGAGGGTTGGATATAACAGCTTTTCAGAACGCAAATAGGAGCAAAAGTTGAGAATGGAAACAAACCAGCAAACAAGTGCGAATAGTCCGAAAACCTACTGTCGACGCAATTATCCTTCATTGGAATACCATCACTCAGTCCTTCGATTAATATTTCCTTTGTGTTCCGTTGTGGAGGTCGTTGTCCACGCCCGCGCCCAGTTCCTTTTCGTTTTGATGCGCCTTTCTTTGCCACTCTCGAGTTTGAACCTATTCGAACCATTGCCTGGATAAAGTTAGTAGTGTCATCAAGTTCGATAGAGCAAGCATTTTCTTGTGCCACACGCAGGGCTTCGATGTCGCAATCCACTAGAAGGAAAGGAACAAGGATTCAGTGTGGAATTGGCTGTAGAACTCTCAGCATCGAATAACTAACCTGCGATTACAACATCGCACAGAAATGCGGCAGCACAAGTAAGCATACCAGTCCCACAACCAAGATCTAAACACCTGCACTCCTCAGGCCAGATATATTTGAGAGCACTTCATAGTTCTATGGAAAATTGGTAAAACAAACTCACGACATGCCCCTTCCAAGATCGCCATTCTCAGCGGCAAAAGCAATCACTCTAGCTGCAAGGTGAGCGCTTGTTGGATATTGTTCCAAGGCAACATTGGGATTCGGAAATTCTCTCTGCAGTGAAGATAGAGCTGATTCCAGATGTTTCACTTTCATCCTAAAAAGAAAACTAGTCGGGAGTTCGTAGTACACGCGAGGACTTGGTGTTTGTGTTTTGCGCGCGTTGAATATTTAGTAGAAATCGAAATTTCAGGAACACCCGGCAAATGACGAAAAT